CCCACCAACAGTTCTCTTTTCTCCATAGCCTTGCCAGCATCTGTTGTTTTTTGACTTTTTGATAATAGCCATTCTGGCTGGTGTGAGATGGTATTACATTGTGGTTTTGATTTGCATTTCTCCAATGATTGGTGATGCTGAGCTTTTTTTTCTATTTATTAGCTCTTATATGTCTTCTATTGAGACATGTCTGTTCACATCCTTCGCCCATTTTTTAAATAAAGTTGTTTATTTTTTCTTGTTGATTTGTTTAAATTACCTATAGATTCTGGATATTAGGCCAGAATCTATAGATACCAGGTGCATAGTTTGCAATATCTTCTCCCATTCTACAGATTGTCTGTTTACTCTGTTGATAGCTTCTTTTGCTGTGCATAAGCTTTTTAGTTTTATTAGGTCCTCACATGTCTTTTTATTTTTTTTTTCTGCAATTGCTTTTGGAGACTTAGCCAGAAATTATTTGCCAAGGCAAACCCACAGCCAACATTATACTGAATGGGCAGATACTCAAACCACTCCTCTTGAGAACTGGAACTAGACAAAGATGCTCACTTTCACCACACCTACTCATTGTAATACTGGAAGTCCTCACCAGGGCAATCAAGCAAGAGAAAGAAATAAAAAGCATCCAAAGAGGAAGAGAGGAAGTCAAACTGTCTCTGTTTGCAGACTCTATGATTCTATACCTAGAAAACCCCATAGACTCTGCCTAAAAGCTCCTAGATCTGATAAACAACTTCAGTAAAGTTTCAGGGTATATCCATGTACAAAAACCAGTAGCATTTCTATATACTAACAACCAGGCTGAGAGTGAAATCAAGAACACAGTACCACTTACAGTAGTCACAAAGTAAATGAAATGCCTAGGAATACAGCTTTCTAAGGAGGTAAAAGATCTCTACAAGGAGAACTATAAAGCACAGCTAAAAGAAATCAGACAACACAAATAAATGGAAAACCATTCATTCCATGCTCATGGATAAAAAGAATCAATATTGTAAAAGTGTCCATACTCCCAAATCAATCTACAGAGTTAATACTATTCCTATGAAACTACCAACATTATTCTTCACACAATTAGAAAAAAAAAACTATTCTAAATTTATATGGAACCCGAAAAGAGCCTGAATAGCCAAAGCAATAGGAGAAGGACTCCCTTATTCAATAAATGGTGCTGGAATAACTGGCTAATCATATCCAGAAGACTAGAGATGGACCTCTGTCTTTCACCATATGCAGAAATTAACCGAAAATGAATCAAAGATTTAAATGTAAGACCTCAAGGCCTGTAATCCCAGAACTTTGAGAGGCCAAGGAGGGAGGATTGCTTGGGGCCAGAAGTTTGAGACCAGCCTGGACAACATAGGGAGACCCTGTCTCTATAGAAAATTTTTAAATTAGCCAGGCATGGTGTTGTGTACCTGTAGTCCCAGCTACTCAAGGAAGTGGGGGAGAGCTAAGGTGGGAGGATCAGTTGAGCCTGGGAGGTCAAGGCTACAGTGAGCTCTGATGGCACCACTGCACTCCAGCCTGGGTGACAGAGCAAGACCCTGTCTCAAAAAATTTTTAAAAACAAACAAAAAAGACCTTAAACTATAAAAATCTTAGAAGACAACCTAGGAAATACCCTTCTTTACATCCGTCTTATTTATTTCTTCTTGTATTCGTTTTAGAAGGTGGTTTTCAAGGAAGTATGTCCATCTGAGTTGTAGAATTTGGCAGATAAAGTTACTTGTTATGTCCTCAAAATAGAACCTCAGATCATTGATTTTAAACCTTCCTTTCCTAATATAAGCATTTAAAGCTACGGTAAACACTGTTGTAGCTGCATCCCACAAATTTTGATACATATTTTCATAATCATTTAGTTCAAAACATTTTCTAATTTCTATTATGATATATTCTTTCACTCATGGATTATTTATAGATTTGTTGCTTGATTTTCAAATATTAAGAAAATTTTTAAAAAATCATTATTAATTGTACTGCAGTCTGAGAATATACTTTCAAGCATATTGAGGCTTCTGGCCATGACGGAGTAATAGACATTGGATTTATCATGTTGCCATAAAACAACTTGAAAACTAGGCCAGATGTATGAAAAAACTGTTTTATGACACAGTGTAGGACTGATTTCTGAGAGACATACCCAGCATGCATACTGTGATGATAGCCTGGCTTCCTACCTGGAAGCACATTGTAGACCATGGAAAAAGAACAAGGACTTCAAGCAAAGCAGAGGTCTGAGTTGAGACAGAGATTGGAGTTAGAAAGGCTAAGGCAGCTAGAAATTGCAGGACAGTGTTCCTGAGAGAATGGAGATACATAGAAGAAGAGCTCCAGAAATCTGCAGGGGGACTACGCCTTGAGACTTGTCAAACACTAATATGTGTATTTGTAGTTACAGATTGATGAAATTATTCCATTTGACCTTAATATAGATTTCTTCTGCCCAGAGCACTTTGCTCAGAAGTTGCCACCTGGCAAGGAGTTTTGAAACTGAGTAGGGGAGAGTTTAGTGAGTCCTGCTGTCACTGCCACAATATCTACTTTTTAATATTTCTCAATTTTGTCAGATTGTTACCTTTTTCATAAATTTGCTACAACTGCATATTTTATAAGTAGATAAACATTGTAATAGTTTGTCTTCAAGAGATTTCACTTCTGTCACATAAGAACTTTATTTAAATTTTTAATAATAAAGATGATGACAGGCTAAGTAATTCAGGCCTCTTATTCATTGAAGGCAATTTAAAAACCTAGAAAAGAAATTGTTTTTTTTTTGAAATGGAGTCTCGCTTTGTTGCCCAGGCTGGAGTGCAGTGATACGATCTCAGCTCACTGCAACGTCTACCTCCCGGGTTCAAGTGATTCTCCTGCTACAGCCTCCCTAGTAGCTGGGATTACAGGTATCCGCCACCACACCTGGCTGATTTTTTTTATATCTTTAGTAGAGACAGGGTTTCACCATGTTGATCAGTGTCTCAAACTCCTGACTTAAAGTGATCTGCCTCCTTGGCCAGGTGTCAGCACATGCCCGAAATCACAGCTACTTGGGAGGCTGAGGCAGGAGAATCGCTTGAGCCCGGGAGGCGGAGGTTGCGGTGAGCTGAGATCAAGCCTGGACAACAAAAGCAAAACTCCATCTCAAAAAAAAAAAAAAAACAAAAAAGTACCTCTTTATTGCCTGCAAAAATGTTTCTTTTCTCAGTTCTAATTTTTGTTTTCAGTCTTAGTGAGATTTGTCCTTTATCTACTTTTTTTTTGGAGACAGTGTCTCACTCTCACCCAGGCTGGAGTGTAGTGGTACAATCTCAGCTCACTGCAACCTTCACCTACCAGGTTCAAGTGATTCTCGTGCGTCAGCCTCCCACATAGTTGGGACTATAGGCACATGCCACCACACCCAGCTAATTATTTGCCTTTTTAGTAGACAGAGTCTCACCATGTTGCCCAGGCTGGTCTTGAACTCCTAAGCTCAGGCAATCCGCCCACCTCGGCCTCCCAAAATACTAGGATTACAGGCGTGAGCCGCCACACCCAGCCTATTATTTATCAACTTTTATTAGTCTCAAAAGAATAGCTCTTGATTTTAGTTACCATTTTTACTGTTTTTTAAAGTGATCACTTCTGGTTTTGTCTTAACTATATTCTCAACTTTTTTGGCTTATTTTTAGTTCCTTCCTAGATTCTTTTGAATTCATTTATTTCTAGCTTTATTTAATAATAAGCATCTAAAGCTGTGACTTTTTATGGTTATAATTTTGACCATGTCCCATAGATTTTGGTAGTCTGTGTTCTGATTGTCATTTTTTTTTTAATTATCCAAGTCCACACAGCTTACGGAGTGGCAAAGTCAGGATTCAGAGCTAAAGGGCTTGTCTCCATGACATGAGATCTAATGCTTTTTAATGTCTTCTCCTTACAGAACAGAGAAAGTAAATTTGGATGATTCTTTTAGGATCAGTGATTGAAATAATTCAGAGTTAAACACAATGAATTCCTTTTTTTTTTTTTTAACTCATCAGGAACCTACATAACACCTGATTACCAGAATTCTGCTGTAGACACCTCAGCTTTTTGGGGTATGGAAAGTGAAGATAAGTAGGGGACAGAGGCTCAAAATGATTTTGCGAGTTGGCTGGACTTTCTTCTGCTTGTCGCCTCTGGGATTATTCATGTGTCCATTGGGGTGGCTTAGTTTCTACCAGTAATTAGCTTGGGCTGCTTCATGGGCAGCTAGATTCAGAGTCATTATATGGATATCCCAATTGCCCTGGGTTGATTTTATGAATGTACCAAATTCTCACATATATCCCCAAAATACATACATCTAAAGTGTATCAGTAAAAAGTCATCATCATTACCTTTTGTAAACAGTTTTGTGGAGTTATATTTAGTCATTTGAATGATTTGTAGTAACCTTATCATGTGTTACAACCGTCCCATCATAAATCTGTTTTAGAACGTTTGTATCCCTCATGCCCATTTATGGCTAATCTCTCTTCCCACCCCCACTGCCTAGCCCAAGCAGCTGCTAATCTGCTTTCTCTCTATAAATTTGCTTTAGTTGGATTTTATTTTATTTAAATGGAATTTTATTTAAATGGAATCATACAATAGGTGATCTCTTTTATCTGGCTTCTTTCAGCATGTTTTTGATATTAACCCATGAGGTAACATATATCAATAGTTTATTTCTTTCTGTTGCTGAAAGGTTTTCCATCATATGGATTTGTCATGTCATTGGTTTTTAGTAAGTGTACAATTTGTTTCAGAAACTTTTTATCTAGGTTTGACATAAACGAGGTGACATTATGGTCTTGACTCTATTTTTTGGATTTAAACTTGGTTTAGTGACTTAACACATTGGTTTTTTTGTTTTTTTTTTTAAATGTTCCTTGGAAATTTTAAAAGAACATGTCTTTTCTGTCCGTTATGTACTTGTCAATTTATGCTTTTTAAGTATAATAAAAGTTCAATATTTATATCTTTTCTAGATTATATATCTTTGAGTGATGCAGGCCACTGTAGTACTGGAGACAGCATCTGGTAAAGGCTACCACGGTGATGGAGGCAACCTCCAAAAAGGTAGGGTCTGGGCCACTTACCTTTATTCTTGCTTAGGAAGCGTGCTAAATGTATTGTGCCAGACAGTTTGCCCTTCAAGTTGCTGCTTTTTAACTCTTCCTCCCTCTAAGGTGGTAAGATTCGTGTGTTTTCAACTTGCCAAATTGACTCAGGTGATTTTTGGTGGATCAGAGCAGTCTAGGCAGGACCTTTCAGGAAAATGGAAGATTTAGGAAAGGGAAAGTGAGCAGGAAGAAAGGATCTCTGTCCAGCCAGCCTTTCAAGAACTGCTGACAGGTATAGCTACCTTCAGGGTGATAAGCAGAAAGTGAGCAGGCTGACTTCTGCTGCCCAAGGTTTATGTTTTCTTCTTCCCATAAATCTGAAATGTATTTTTCTTGGGTAATGGCAGAAAGAAAATAAAAAATAGCAAGAGTCTAAAAAGCAAAATGACTAAATTTTATGTGCTTCTGAATACATGTAGCTTAAACTATTAAGAATTGTATATTCTAGATTAAAACAACTCTATTCTACATTGTTCATGAGACACATTTAAAACACAAAAGAAAGGTTTAAGATAAAAGGATGGACAAGTTAAGAAACAAATTAGCTTAAAAATTTAGGGTGATAGTAGTGATGAGTATAATCATATATAATGGAAAGCATTGTAAGAAGATTAAGAGGGTCCACTTATACAATGACGATGTGAGTCATGGACCCTAACGGAATAAACCGTATACTTTCTATTCATACATTAAATGTTGGAAATCTAGGGAAAGGCTCCTGGAGTTTGGACATGATAATGGTTCTCTATCTCAGTAAATTCTAATAGGATATTGTATGCAATTCAAAATGTTCCAAAAAAAATGAACTTTTAAAAAATTAATCTGTCGGAGAGAATGTAAAATCATTTTTAAAATAAAGGAAAAAACTTAACTTACCAGATATAAAAAAAATCCCACGATACTAGAATACTTAAAACAATATAATACTGTTATACAAAAAGATAATAGGTTAATGGAACAGAATAAATAGAAATAAATTCTCAGAAAATCATGAAACAGAAAGAGGAGGACTTCAGAATATGATAAAAATGTTGTTTCATCTCAGAAGAACAGTGGATTATTTGGCAAATGGTGTTAGGACAATTGACCATCCATTTTGGAAGAAAATTAAGTTAGAGTCCTACCTTATGCTAAAGAGAAAAATATATTCTGTGTAGTGTAAAAAGACTAAGTGTTAACCCCCAGCCCCCCTACATACAATTAGAATAAATTATAGGAGAATATTTATATAATTACTTGTTAGAGAAGGCCAAAGACACAAAACCCAGAAGTTACAGAAGACTGATTCATTTAACTAAATAACATGTACAATTCTGATATGACAAGACACCATAAAAAGTTAAAGCCGGGCAAATTACTTGGGCAGCCGAGGCAGGAAGATTGCATGATACAAGTCTAGCACCTGGGCAATGTAGCAAGACCCTGTCTCTTAAAATAATTTTTAAAAGTTAAAAGATAAGCAATAAACGAGGAAAATTCACTTACATTACAAACGTAAAAAAAAAAAAACAAAGAATTAGTATCTACAGCGTCTAAAGGACTCCCAAGACAGTCATTCACATCTGGGTGTTTTATTACTGACCTCAAACTCTACTTGCCCAGGATTGAACTCATTATTCTCCTCCCCTCCTTCTCATTTTAACTCTTACCTTCTAAATCTGCTCTTTAAACAGTCCCTATCTCTTGAGCTCTGAATATTCCCATTCAATTATAGTACCAAGTTGTGAACATGTAAGTATTATCTTTGAGTGATATTTAAATAGGTATTTATTGGTTATTTGGTAAGTCATGACATCAGTTTAGCTGATTGTGATCAACTTTTTAAATGAAATAGAGTAAAATAAAATAGAAATATCAGAATACATTGGACAAGGGATAATTACTGTTCTGTAAAATTTTCCTTTTCCTTTTACACATACACATATGTATGTGTGTACTGGGTCATGATATAAAATGTAATTCCAATTATGATCTTAGTCAAAAAAATCTTTTGAAAACCACTGCTCTCTCTCTTCCTCTTCCTATCATCTCTAATTGGCCACCGAGACTCGTCAGTTGTGGAACTTCCATACCAGTCTCTTCTTTAGTCCCACTTCTATATTCCTTTGGTACCTGCCTTTATTCTCCTCTTTCAAGTTTTTATTCTCTCTGTTGCCAGGACTGACTCAGCGACTCAATTCCAGTCAAATGGCTACCCTTTTAAGAAGCTTTCAGTGGTCTTTTGTTGCCTTAGAATAAGAGCCAAACTCCTTAACACGTCATAAAAGGCCTTTTTCAGTTCATCACTCCTGTCACTCTCATCAGAGTTCTTTTACTACAGACAAGCTTACAATTCCTGAAACTGCGATGTTCTTTCACACAGCTAACTTGTGTTGAGTTTGCCTAAAATAATTTTGTCTATTTTGTTTCAAAACACTTTTTAAATATAAAGTTTTTCTGAAGTCCGTTTCCCCTTTTTTCTCAAAAATTTACCTGCTCCATCAACACAACTCTGTCAGCACTTTTTTAAAAATACATTTTTGGGGCCAGGCGCAGTGGCTCATGTCTGTAATCCCAGCACTTTGGGAGGCCGAGGTGGGTGGATCACAAGGTAGGAGTTCAAGACCAGCCTGGCTAAGATAATGAAACCCCATCTCCACTAAAAATACAAAAAATTAGGTGGTGGGTGCCTGTAATCCCAGCTACTTAGGAGGCTGAGGCAGGAGAATCACTTGAACCTAGGAGGCAGAGGTTGCAGTGAGCTGAGATCATGCCACTGCACTCTAGCCTAGGTGACAGAGACTCTGTCCCAAGAACAAAATATATATATATGTTTTTGTGTGCTTATCATGACCATATGAAAACCATAAGCACTTAGGGACAACGTCTCTATCTTCTTTTTCTTTATTTTTACAATGCCTAGGGCTAGCACTAGGAGGCATATAAAGATATATTAAATAAATTTCTAAGAAAAAAGTTTCTTTTCTTTTTTTCTGAGATGGAGTTTCACTGTTGTTACCCAGACTGGAGTGCAATGGCACGATCTCGGCTCACCGCAACCTCTGCCTTCTGGGTTCAAGCAATTCTCCTGCCTCAGCCTCCCGAGTAGCTGGGACTACAGGCACGCACCACCATGCCCAGCTAATTTTCGTATTTTTAGTAGAGATGGGGTTTCACCTTGTTGACCAGGATGGTCTCGATCTCTTGACCTCATGATCCACCTGCCTCAGGCTCCCAAAGTGCTGGGATTATAGGCATGAGCCGCCGTGCCCGGCGGAAAAAAGTTTCTTATTAGACCATTTTACAAACAGTGGCTTCCCTATAAACAGGAAATTCCTTTCCATTGAAAGAATCCAAGAAAATCTTACCTGTTGTCTTAGTTCAGGCTGCCATAACAAAATAGCATAGAGTGAGTGGCTTAAACAATAGGCATTTATTTTCTCATAGTTCTGGAGGCTGGAAGCCTGAGATCAAGGTCTCAGCATGGTCAGGTTCTGGTGGGAGGGTCTCTTCCTAGCTTGTAGATGGCTGCCTTCTTGCTGGCTGTGTCCTCACATGAGAGAGAAAACAAGCAAGCTCTCTTGTGTCTCTTCTTGAAAGGACACTAATCCTATAATTAGGGTCTTGCCCTCATGGCCTCATCTAAACCTAATTACCTCTCAGAGTCCCCATTTCCAACATATGAGTCTGGGTCTGGCCTTCAGTATATGCATTTGGGAGGACATAGTTTGGTTTTTAGCTGCTACTGCAAGGGATATTTGTCATGGATGATGTAAAAAGTATTTCTGCATTGGGAAGAGCTTAAATCAGATCATGTCTAAGGTTTTTCTAGGGTTTAGATTCTATAATGTTGCTGTTCATATTTTTATCCTTTTTTTAATCAGATAAACCTTCGAATCCTAAGAAAGAAAATTTGTTATTATCCTCCAATGGTTGTGATGAAGTCAAATTGACTTTTCCTGATGATGACTGGGATTCTTCGACACTAGAGCAAAGCACTAATAATAAAGAAATTAGCGATATTGACAAAACGGATTCAGTAGAACCATTTTTTTCAGTGAGTCAAGATACTAACAGAGAGAGTACTCACTTTCAGTCATGTGAACTTGGAGACAGTACTGACTATACTCTCTTGAAGGAAATATATTCTATACATTATCCAGAGTCAAAACTAAAGAAGGAAAATCTTACTCCTGTAAGTTCAGAGTTAGATCCTGAAGTGCAGAAAAAAGAGGAGATGTTTTTTCATATTTTGAAACATCAAAAGACTGATGGCTTGGAAAGAATCTGTAATATTTCAGAGACTAATTGTAAAGAAACTGATGAAGATACACAAAAGTATGATACAGATGAAGACTCACAGCAGGAATATCACAGTGCAGAAGAACAAGAATACTTAAGTAACCATTTATCTTTTGACCAAACAAAAACATTAGGTATATGTAATCTGGAAGTTGTTGAACTAGGAAGTTCAGGTTATGAAGTTAAATGTGCTAGCAATGGAGAAGATAATCATGGTAACTCGGGAAGTGGTTCTATCATCTCTTTAGATTCACTTGATGTTTATGGACAAGAAAATTTACCTCATGTCTCCAAATTTCAGAATTCTGTTATGTTAAGGGAATATCATGACCTAAAGGGTGAAAAGTGTAAGGAACAAGAGACTAGTTCAATGTGCCACACAGTTTTTGATGGCAGTGTACTAAGAAGCAGTTCTTCAGGAAACCAGGAACCTCAATCTAAGAGTGGTTCCTTAAGCCCCCCAAAAGTATTAAAAATGAAAATTTATACTGAAAAAATGAAATCTCAAGTAAATGAAAGTAAAGATTTTTGTGGAAATAAAATTGTTGAGAACAAAATATTACAGCACCTTGGAAATCCTATCACACCACCACAACATAAAGCTTTAGAGACATTACTCCAACCCTGTAAAGATCGTCAAACTTCCTGGCCCTCTGTTTTTGATGATTCAATAATTTCTTCCTGGGAATATTCACATTATAAAAGCCTGCAAAACACCCCTGACTCAGCCTTAGATTTTTCTGTTACACTACCAAAGACTGCAGTCAGAGATAATCAGCCAAAAGAAGATAATAGTTCCCTAAAAGTTGCAAATAGCAGTACCACAAAGAAAAACTGCTTTCACAATATGGAAGGAATGTGTACTAAATCAATGACAGATGGAGCAAATTGTACAGTCACAATTAATCAGACGGTGGACGTTAGCACTGATTTTAGGGCTTGTCTCACAACCAGCAGGGCAACAAGTACAAGACCTTCTGTAGTGTCTACATCAAGCAACACAGAGGTAACAATGATGAATAAAAAACGACCCGATGAACGGCGAGATGAGAAACAGCAAAGTGTGGCTCATAGTACAGATTCCTCATACAGTGAAGAGTGTATACATACACAGACGGCTCTGACAAAAGGATCAGGAAAATCTCCCTCAGTTGACAGTTTAAAACCTAATAGAAATTTTCTAAATAAGGTAAAATCAATATGAGAAATAAAATTTAAACTTCATAAAGAGACAGTATATGCTAATGTAAATGTTTTTAGTTTGCTGAATTGTATTAAGGCTCTTGTTAGAAGATGCTAAATGAGGGGAAAGGTGTGTAAATTACCACCAGTTCTCTCTCTCATGGAAGCTCCTCCCACAAAATCCATTAGAAACTGAATTATACATTTTACTAGTTTGGAATTTCAGATATAGCATAGGTTGTTTATAATTTAATTTTAAATCATGTTTTCAGGATTTCCTGGAATTAAGAAAACCGGTTGATATCACAGACCTCAAGAAACCTCCTGAGAGGTACGTCAGATAAATAAGCTTACAGATACATCTAGAAGAAAATATCAAAATAGTTGCTTTCTGTGTGGCATACTTACCCATATAGAAGAGTAGCTAAAATGAACTTTAAGATATCATCTGCTTCAACTGTTTGCCTTCAGATAAATATTAAAACAATATAGAATATTAAAGCTCTTTACTTATTGAGATTTCAATCTCAATTTCTTCAGAAACCCGTGGCATCTAATCTTTACTTGTTTAACCCAAATCCATACTGACTTAATTTTCCATTTTCCTTCATTTTATTCACCTGTAGACCAAAACAAACTATTGCCTTGGAATATGTCATTTATTTGGAGAAGTAAACAGCTACTTTTACAGGAGCATTTTAATCTTGATTTTAACTCATTACATAATTTGCTTTGCGTTTATTAGATACTCTTGTAATTCAGAACACAGTGGGGAGCCAGGAAGTGGGAGGGAGAGAAACAGGGAAGGTCTAAGAAGCCAAATTAGTTATCATACTCTGAGGTGATTTACTTTTTCCTTAATTTATTATTTATTCTTCTAATATGTTTAATCTGGTATTTCAGTTCTATAAAATTAAATAGAATACTTTCTAGAAGCAGAACTATTGAGAATAGCTAGAAGTGGCAATTAGTAACAAAGGAAGACCTCCAAAAACTACTAATACTCAAAAAAAAAAACCATAGTGCCTTGGGGCTTTTTGATATGATAGTACAGCAAAATACTTGCTTACGTTAATGACCCGTAATTATTAAGAAATATGTAAATTATTTTCTATTAAAAAGTATGTTTTAAGAATAATTTTCATCCAAAATGCTTATAACTTTAAAAAATCTTGGCCAAAGGTTGATTTAGGTTAAAAAATATTCATTGATTCTGGACAAATAAGGTCATTTCCAAAACGACTTTATCCAGAATAAGCAATTCTCAAATTCATACTTTTTTGGTAAAAGACAGTATGAATTTGAGAATTGTTTACTTCCTCAACTTCTAGAAGGAATATATTTAGCTTTAACTTCTCGCTTTCTGACGTCGTTATATGTTCCTACAGCCTCTTCATCTTTAGTAGAAATTGCTTTAAACTTAACAGGGAAATATTAAAAATTTAAAACCTGTTTCTAGAGGCATGTTATTACTGTAGCAAAATGTTTGGAATCTTACCTGATACTCTTTTATTTTTAAAGGGAAGTTCAACTTTTTAAAGATACGGAGAAGGATTTGCCATCAATGTGCTGTCAGAAAATAATGCAGAGAGCCGTAAAAGCAGAGCTGCAACTTTTAAATGTTCATTATCAGATGTGTCATCGCCATTGTTGTGATATTTATAAACTTGTAATGGAAAACAGGGAAGGATTAAATAGGTGTTTATTAATTTTAAATGTTTTTTCTTAGAAATTTGTCACTAGCTTTAAGTTTATTCTAGAATGTTTCTTTAAGTTTCCTTTTTGAAGAGTAAAATGAGTAGATTGTTACTGGGTTTGTTAGCCTAAGGGTAAGAGAACCCTTGAGTTTCTCGGAGGGGCCACAGCGCATGGTTGGCATGATGAATCCAGTGAAAACATAGATTTGTTGTTTCTTTATAAAGTTCAAGTAAGGATGAAATCAGGGTTTTGCATAACATGTTATCACACTTTCTCTGGCTTATGTGTTCAGAGTTATTTGTACTGCCCTTAGAAAAACACATTTACTGTGGTTCAGCTTTTCCTTTTAACTCAACATTTAAAAGAAAATATCTAAAGATCTAATACAATTAGAACCAAGTGGGGCTGGGCAAGAGGGCTTGTGCCTGTAAACCCAGCACTTTGGGAGGCTGAGGCAGGAGGATAACTTGAGGCCAAGAGTTCAAGACCAGCGTGGGCAACATAATGAGACCCCCATCTCTACATTTTTTATCAAATTAGCTGGGCATTGTGGCACACGTGTAGTCCTAGCTACTTGTGAGGCTGAGACAGGAGGATTGCTTGAGCACAGGGGTTCAAGAACCAAGTGTATAATACTAGTGTTAAATGGATGACTTGGGCCTAAATAATTTAGTTTTGTGCACTCAACTTTTGAACAGGAATTTGTCAAGTAATTCTGCTAGGAAGGAATTGGGATCCACAGTACTGTCTCTCTTGGGAGACTTAAAAGTTAAATATGTAAGTTTGAAAGAAAAAATACACAAGGGCATACCACTGGAAGAGCTGCCCCCACTGTCAGTAGAATCAAAATTATTATCTACCTTCTCTACTTTTGCTTCCAAGGTATGTATATATGTTTTAGGGATAAAAATTTTACTTCATTAAGACAAAAAACATTTTAAATAAATTTTTTTTTCCTTTTCTTTCTTTCCAGCTAATGAAAAAAGAAACACATGTGTGAGTTATGGTTTCATCTGATTTATAATTCATTAGATCCTAAATATTGTTTAATTCAGCTAACTTTAAACTTTGTTTTGTTCCCTTTTTAGAACATTGATAAATGTTTTAATGAAGTGTTTATCTTTTTTCTTGATACTTAATATTGTACAAATGTATGGGTACATGTAATATTTTGTTACATGCAGAGGATATGTACTAATCCAGTCAGTATTCAGGATATCCATCATCTTGTGTATTTGTCGTTTCTATGTGTTGGGAACATTTCAAGTCCTCTCTTTTAGCTACTTGGAAATATATATTGTATTTAACTATAGTCACGCTACTCTTCTGTAAAATATTAGACTGTATTTCTTCTGAAGTGTTCTCTTTAGCTTTTCAGAAGCAGATGATGATAATCAAAGGGCTCATGATGTTGATGTTTCTTCGAAACTAAAAAAGACACTCTCTCAAGTAAGGTTCCTGGAAAGTTCATCAGTGTAAATCTTTAATTGTATGGTTTAAGTAAAGTAAACTATAATTTTCAGAAACCCTGACATCTTCCTTTTCACTCAACTGGCTTACTTTGTGTACTACCATTTGAGGGATATAACTGATTATAATGATATGTTTATGTTGAATCCTGATCAAACAGATATCAACCATGTATGTTGAGTAGGGTGACCATATAATTTACATCATGCCAGGAGACTTTTGAGTTTTAAAGAGTGTAATGGTAATTCTCTACAACAGTCAGTATAAACCTGGACTGTCCTGGACCAACTATAATTTAGTGCCATCATCATGGTGAGCCAGTACAATTAAAACTAACATTTTATACCTTCATCTCATGAGGTAAAGTAATCATTCAGTCATTTTACACAGGGAAAAGTTATAATTTCTTCTTTACTGAAATGATGAAAATCATTTGTAAATGCCTGTCATAGGTTTTCTCACTCACTCTTGTTCCCCCAAGAAAATGTTTGTCAGATGACAACCAAGAAGGAAGATTTAATCTATGTAAGAACACTGAAAATTACAAAGTGTTATGGAAACATTGATTCTATTCCATTATTGAGCAGGGAGGCAATGGAATAGAAAAGCTGGGGTTTAGTTTGCTTTTCTGACTGGTTTTAACCCTGAGGTTTCTTTATTTGAGTAATATTAATCCCCCACCATGATATCCAAAGTTAAAAGTGAAATACTTGACTGAGTAAAAGTAAATTACTTTAACATTGTCTATTCCATTGTTAATTTCTTTTTTTAAAAAAAAAATCTCAGTTATCCATGAAGAATTAACAAATCCAAAACTAGATTTTCATGTATTTAATGGTAACAATGGTATAACTTATTTATTTAGGGAGAACAATAAATTATTTTTTAAAGAATGAGATGCAGATATAATACATTTTTTATAATCTTGGTTTTGAGTAAAAAACAATATCTATTTTAAGTTGGGATTATATTTTAATTCCTATCTCTTTATATTAACTGGTAAAGCATGAAACTTAGTATAATGTTTCTAAATTTCAGCCATTCATGTACCATCTTCACAATTTACCATAGCCCCATATTACCTATAATGCCACTTTGTATTTGTCTTTAAATGATTCTCTTTTTACATAATTTTAAATGTAAATAATAACTATTACATAGAAGAAGGTAATACTGCTTCTCATAAATAAAAGATACACATAAGCGTACACTAAATTAAATATATAACTGTTAATGGTTAACGTGATAAATATTTATATATATATCTCTCTCTCCAAAAATTACCTTGATTACTTCTCATGTATGTATGCCACACTTTGCCAAATAGTAGTATTAGCAGTCACTATACACAGACTGGATTCACACTGTAATTCTGTTAACTGTGTAACATGAGGCAACAAGTTCCTTAGATTCTGTGTTCTCATATGTCAGGTCAGGTTGATGATGTTTTGCTTCATAGCCCTCATTACTGTAAGGGCTAAATAATGCCAGTGAAGAGTACCCGTCACAGAGTAAAAGCCAGATCATTATTTGTCCTTATTTATTGTTGTTTTATTATCTTAACCCTCAGATGCCTTTATCATCTGACACTAGCCATGCTACACAAAGCATGTCACCCAGGAAAGATGTCTTTAAAAATGGTAATATAAATGCAGACTTCAGTCAACTGAAACTTGATGATAAAGGTTAGTATAAAAATGGTTATCTTGTATAGTTGCTGGAAAGCAAAATAAGGTTTAACATGTCGGTAATGTTCATCATTAAATAAAAATAAATATTTTAAATTGACAGAATGGCATTCTGATTATAAGTGTCAAGTATGTTATTATTGCTACTTGACGTCTTTAAGATTGCCTAATATAACTGACAATGCTGAATAATAATACGGACTTTTATTCTTCTGGTTCATATTTCCAGTATGGAAATTCTCTCTTGTATCTAATTTGTATCTCTGTAAATTGTGTGTATTTTTAGCACATGAAAAGAGATTATAATCATTCCAAAAGATTATTAATTTAATTCTAATGAAATAGGTGCAATACTGCTTAATTCTGTCAAAGAGATTTCATGTTATTGCGTATATAAAGATAGTATGTCTTCACTCAAGGGCAATTTACAATGCAGCTTATTAAGGGTTTTAATAAGCTGGGAATAGTGTTTTCATTAAAGGCAAACTAGGAAACAGATCACTCAGACTGAAAGCAACTGTTTATTTGAGGACTGCTGAAAATCCTCAAAGAATCTTTATGCTTGGTTCTCTTATTTTGCCAATATTTATCTTTAGATTTATATATAAAACTAGTAGTCATCATCATACAGCTGTATCCATGGTTTTTAGATAACATTCAGTTGTGTTAGACATTATATGAATTCATAGCTCATTGTGTTTAATGTCTTAGACTGCAGTCATTACCAAGAAATAAGCGAAGACTGGTTTGATGCTAAAGAAAACCTGACAGGAGTCGACATCTCAGGAACACAAGAAAATCAAATAGAACAGGACAGATGCAATCTGGACCTTACACTAGGTTGGTTCTCAATAATTTCCTGAGAAATCCTAGCGTAGATTATTTGTAAAATAGTGCTTACCTGCTTCTGTGTCATGTTGGGCAACTGAGCTGTTTTAATAATTTATTCCTGTTTTGGCTTTTCTTTATAAATATAAAAAATGAGGAAATTGTTCAGTTGGAGGTCAATTTTTTAAAGAGAAAAAAAAAACTGTTAAAAGCTTAAATCCAAGATTTAGTTAGCAGGTAGATACCTGCATTCTTCCCTTTGCTCTAGGCCAACATCAGCACTCCTGAGGGCATCATTTTCCTCTGAGCCCTCATCAGGCACTTTCCAGACATGGGTACATGGTGAAGAAATCCAGCTTCCCAATTACCATCAGGCAACCAGGTCTAATCTGTCAAATTGGTGTTAATGAGAACTCTTACTTCAATAATTTTAGGGACGTTTTCGTCTTTAGATAGTCCTTAATTGCTTGGAATAGTTACAATTTTCTCCAGTACCTGTGATTACTGCCCTTCTATCATTTCTAGTGAAGTTTATGCTACCTTTCCTTATTTTCTCTGGATCTTCTGTGGATTTTTCTTTTATTTTCCATATCAGCATTGGTTTTATTGTTTTTTTTCCTGCTTGTATAAATAATGCTTAAGATTTAAATAAAATTTTAAAATATAGGAAAATTAAAATTAACTGAAGTTTCTCCAATGCAGTAACCACTATGAATATTTTAATGACCATTTTTATGCATTTTGTTATGCATATATTTAATACACATATACAATTTTAAATGAATGGCATTATATGCTCTAGTTTTGGGGTTTTGTTGTTGTTGTTGTTTGTTTGTTTTTGAGATAGAATCTCGCTCTGTCACCCAGGCTGGAGTACAGTGGCACTATCTTGGCTAAATGCAACCCTCCTGCTTCAGCTTACAGGCACCCACCACCACATCCAGCTAATTTTTGTATTTTTAGTAGTGATGGGGTTTCACCAGGCTGGTCTTGAACTCCTTACCTCAGGTGATCCACCCACCTCCTGAAGTGCTGGGATTATAGGCATGAGCCACCGCACCCAGCCCCATATCAGCTAGTTTTATTCTGTTTTTTTTTCTGCCCTTGTGTTAGTTTTCTTCATGTCACATGTCACAATACTGTGTAATTTGCTTACTTGATATATTGACCGACTTCCCATCCTCTCGTTGGCTCAGTGAGCTCAGGGATGTTTATATATTTTGTTTACTGCCTATCTCCAGTGCCAGGTACCTCATGTAACTCATTTGGATGTTTCATAGATACTTTGTATTGAAGTAGTGAAAGTGAGGTGATGGGTATAATGTCTTTTGATACTTATTTACCCTCTTTAACTGTACTGTAGCTCATTATTCCCTCCTTATTCCAATGTAAAAATATAAAGGTAGATGGTTTTACAATTTTTTCTTTAGAATACATCATGATTCAAAGAGATTAACAAATGAAATAAGTTAAGTTAATGAAAGTTAGGTATTATTACCTAAAGATGACAGTCTCTCCCTGGATTCCAGAACCACCACTTACTAGATTTGTGACCTAAACTTCTGAGACTTCAGTATCCTTATCTGCAAAATGAAAATAATAATAGCTACCTTCTGGTGTAAGAATTACATGAGATGATGTGTATAAAGTGCTTGCCATATTGCCTGGAGCATCAGAAACACTGGATCAGTATTAGGCTACTCTTATATTATTACTTAATGAAAAAAATTAAAATTGCACATCTCCTCTTATATAAAAATTATAAAGCATATAAATAAAAGCTACTTTAAGGATTCATTCAGCAAATATTTGTGTGCTCACTATGTGCCAGGTATAGGATTTGCTAGTAATTTGAATCTCCATTCAGTGGATCCTTTTTGATTTCAGGTTCTCTTCACAATAGAGTCTATGAAAATGTATTCTAAGAATTTTGAATTTTTTATCAAGAAACAAATATACCTATAATCCTAGTATTTGTCATTTGGAAAATCATGCTGCCTAACTCAAGATGTCTCACCCCTTTCTTTCTTGTGTGCCTTTACCATTATTACAAGCTGCATATTATAATACCTGCTATAGATCCTGGTCCAATTAAAAGGTTTTCTTGGTATGACATTTCCCCAGCAAGGGAATGTGCATAATCAGAGCCCTCAGACCGCTAGCTCCAGCCTGCACTTACACTAGGGAGTTAGGGTCCTGTGTGTGGACATGGTGTTCTAGATAGCACTTCTACACAGACAAAAATAATCCACTGCAGATTGAAAATATTTGTAAAAGCCTGTATTAAAAACGTACAGACTTTCTGGGAGGCTCATTATTTCCTAAACAATATAGTATAACAACTGTTTACATTGTATTAGGTACTATAATTAATCTAGAGATTATTTAAAATATATGGAGGGATATGGGTAGGTTATATGCAAATACTATGCCACTTTACATTAAGGGACTTGAGCATCTTCAGGCTGTCCTGGAACCAGTCTCCCAGGGATACTGAGGGACAAGAATTACAGTAACTGATTACTTTGTTTAGATGTAATTTATACATTTTTGAGCTACAAGAGACTTAACTAACCCAACCAACATGTTTATTTTTTAAGATGATGTGATTAAGGCCCAGAAATCTTAAAACTGTACTGCAGGCTCTTAGTCCTCAGTCTAGAAGTGCTGATAGTTGATGATAACTTTATAATAAACTTTGGGTTAGTAAAAAGGAAACATAAACTATTTCACAGTGCTCACATTTTCTCTGAAACATCAGAACAAAAAGGATCATTTCTGTTACCTGTTTTTCTCTAAGCAGAAATGAAGAATGTTGAACCCTCACAAAGAAATAAAGGTTATTTGATACATGTTGGTGGCCTCTGCCCTTCAGTATCTGAGGTATGCCAAGATTTTTTTTTAGCTTCATTTTCAAATTTATTAGTTGTTCATATTTTGCTGTTTTTCTATCTTTCACAAACTTTTATTTCTCTTCTTTTTAGGCTGATTTAAGGTCTCATTTCCAAAAATACCAAGTTTCAGAAATTTTAATCTGTGATTCTTCTAATTACAGGTGTGTTTCCCAATTTTAATCAATGTGCATTACTGTGTGTCTGCTGTTTGCCAAAGGTTCTATATTAGATATCAGCCATAGTGGTGATAAAGTCAAGGGCTATTCTCACAGGGTTGCACAGGTTAGGAAAGGGTGTACATGGACAAAAAGCTGCAATCTTGAGCTGATGCTGTTCTTAACCAGATCTTTTTTCAATATACTTTGTGACTTGTTAATGGTATACAGGAGAGTTATTGATTTTTGTATACTTTATCTTGCTACATGCCATTTTGTAGGGGAAGTAGAGCACATTAGGTAAAACAACAGCTTCCATAAATACATAGCATGGGTTCGATTCCAGCTCTGTCAACAACTTGGTTAATAAATTTGGGCAAGTTACTTAACCTTTCTCTACCTCAGTGTCTTCGTCTTTAAAGTGAGCATAATAATACTACCTTGATAGCATTGCTGTGAAACTATTACAAGTAAAATATGTGAAACACTGGGAATAGAGCCTGGCACATAGTAGGTGCTCAGAAAATTGTATTTCATTTTACTATTTCTGATTTCTAGTACTTTTTAGTTGAAACTTTATGTATTTCAGGTAGACAGCTACCTCATCTACATATAGTCACTTTGAGCATGTATATGTTGCTGCTCTCTGTTCTGTGACATTCCCAGATCATCCAAAAGTATTAAATAACAATGGCGATAGCTTAATGGAAATTTTTTGGCTGTTTTATTATTAAAATGGTAGCTATTTATTTCAGATATTAAAAATTTTATCAATTAAGAAAGGATCCTATTTATAGTTGGGTTGCAATTTATTAAAAATATGTGTCTTAAGTCAAGTCATATAATTGTAAGATAATTGTTTAGCTGTAATTATTTGACCTGTTGATATGATGTTAATACATTTTATTAAAGTAGTGTTGTAATCCTAGGAGTATTATTTGATATGAAAAATTCTTTTAGCATCTTGTTGAATACTTTTTTGAAGTGTGATTTTTTTCTTACTGGAACTATTATGCATTCTGTATAGAAATTTAGAAAATAGAGTTAAATGCAAAAAATACAAGGAATTCATAAAAATTTATCCAGAGTCCCATCATTTGAAAACAGCTACTCTTCCCAGGATTTGGTATATATCCTTCCATTGACACGGTCTAGGGCTGCTGCTTTTGTAAGAATAGCTGTTGCCCAGCTTTCTTGTATATATAGTTAAAATTCTGATGAGATTTTCCAACTCTTTTTTTGTCTATATTTCCCCACTACAGGGTTATAAAGATATACTTTTATATATTCTGCTAAATATTTAAAATTTTACCTTTCATATTTAAGCCTTTAAGTTATCTGAAGTTTATGTTAGGGATTAATTTTAAGTTTTTTAGTTTCAGATAACCAATTGTCCCCAGACCACTAATCCCTACAACTCCATCATATATTAGCTTTGCAAATGTTTTACAGTAGATTTTAATATAAAATAGGAGATAATGTATAAGAAATGTTTTTCTTTTATTTCTCATCTTTAACTTGGTTTTTATTTAGTTATCCTAAATAAATATGCTTCCTAATCCCAAGGTAAGTACAGCAAACTTTTAATTTTTAAAAGCAGTTATTCTTGTGAAAAATGTATTTGCATCAATAGTTACAAAATTAAGTTTGACGTCATTTGAAGTCATTAACAACCTTTTGGTTTTCTGCTTTTATGTTTTAGATATGCATCTCTTGCTTTTACAAAACACAGTGATGCAAAGATGGCTGTGAAAGAAATGAATGGGACAGAAATAAATGGAAAATCAGTACATGTGCGGCCTGTTAAAATTCCTGGAGAATATACATCACCACTTTTCTCCAAAAATGGGAGAAGAATTAGCTCAAATAATTTGGAGAAAAGCACCAACAAAGAAATCCACTCAGCCTTCTCCATTTCTAGATTGCCCAGAACTAGGCCACGGCAGCTGGGATCTGAGCAAGACAGCGAGTGTTTCCTTTCCAACCAGAAGGTTAGTGTTTTTGTTAGATCCCTAAAATTGCCTTTGTACATGTCATATTGCTGTAAATAGCTTTGTAGAACAAATAACTTCAATATGCAGTCTTGAAATGTGAATGACAGCGTTCATCTGAATTGTGGGGTTTTTGTTTTTGAAACAGAGTTACACTCTTGTTGCCCAGGCTGGAGTGCAATGGCGTGATCTCAGCTCACTGCAACCTCCGCCTCCTGGGTTCAAACAATTCTCTGGCCTCAGCTTCCTGAATAGCTGGGATTGAAGGTGCCAGCCACCACACCCAGCTAATTTTTGTATTTTTAAAAGAGACAAGGTTTCACCATGTTGACCAGGCTGGTCTCGATCTCCTGACCTCATGATCTTCCCACCACAGCCTCCCAAAGTGCTGGGATTACAGGCATGAGCCACCGCACCTGGCCAATCTGAACTGTTTTTAACCTTGAATCCACCCTGCTCACTTTGAGCATGTTTTTGTACAACTCCAGTTGTTCCTGTGGGGAAATCCAGGTCTTTGTAGACTGAGCTAACAATATCTCATTTTAACTAGACTCTTTGCCAATTCTTTGCAGTCTTTTTATTACTACTCTATAAGTGATTATAATTTCTTCATTATTTTTCTTTCACAGCTAACCTTATCTTGTAATTGTTAAAACCATAAAATGTAGTCATTTTATTTTCATATATTCTCATGTCTATCTTGTTGAGGTAAACACCCTGTGAAAAGTAGTAAAGTTTGCTTTGTTCACTCTTCTCTCCACTGCTCAGCAAATTGCCTGGAATCCCATAGGCATTCCACATATATATTTTTTAAAGTTTACAGACAGTAAAATTTAATACTTATTGGTGTCTGTAATTTTAAACAAATTTATATAGGCAAGTTGCCACCACCTTATAATCAAGATTCAGAACAGTTCTATCATTCCAAACAATTGTCTTGTACTCTGATCTGTTTCCGAATCTTAAAACTACCTTTTTCAGAATGTTACATAAATGAAATATACTATGTAGCCCTATTAGCCTGGCTTTTTTCACTTAATGCATTTGAGATTGATCCATGTTGTGTATATTACCATTTTATTTCTGTTCATGTTGTGTCCATTTTTATTCAGCTGTTTATTATTTTTAATTTTTTGATATTCTGATTATAAGCCCTTCATCAGACACATAGGTGATTTGCGGATAATTTTTCTCACTTCATGCCTTGTCTTTTCATTCTCTTAAAAGTGTCTTTCTCAGAACAGGGATTTTTAGCATTTATGAAGTATAATTTATTTTTTCTTTTATAATGTATGCTTTTAGTGTTGTAGCTAAGAAATCTTAGCCTAATCTAAGATCACAGAGAATTTGAGTTAATTTTTATATATTGTTTCAGGTATTTGTTGAGGTAGTTTATTTGCATTTGTTTCTGTTTTGCATACAGTATAATTCCAGCATTATTTGTTGAAAAGATTATCTTATTTCTGTTGAATTGCCTTTGCACCTTGGTAAAAAATCAGTTGATCATGTTTGTGTGAGTCTATTTCTAGATTGGAACTGTTTCATTGAACTGTTTGCCTCTTTCCACCCTTGGTACACTGTCTTTATTACTGTAGCTTCATAGTAAGTTTTGAGATCAGGGAAAATGAGTCTTCTAAGTTTATTCTTTTTCAGAATTATTGTGACTGTTTAGTCTCTTTGCCTTACTGTATATTTTTATTTCTGTCTACAGAAAACAAAATCCTAGTTGGATTTTTACTGGGATGATTTTGAACCTACAGATCAGCACAAATCCCTTTTAATAAGTGGATGAAAGAATAAATACTTGTTAAATAAATGAGTTTAATTTTTGTCTCGAACTCTTGGGCTCAAGCAATCCTCCTACCTCAGCTTCCAAAGTAGCTGGGACTGCAGGTGTGCCATCATGCCCAGCTAATTTTTGTGTTTTTTTTTCTGTAGAGACCAGGCTGTGCTTGTTACCCAGGCTGTTCTCAAACTCCTGTCCTCAAGTGATCCTTCTACCTTGACCTCCCAAAGTGCTGGGATTACAGGTGTGAGCTACCACACCCTGCTAATTACACATGCTTTAGTTAGGGAATCGAATTGATCCAGGCTGTGGTTTTGATGTTCATTAGCTCAGGCAGCAACACTCTTGGTACTGTCAGCTGTGGCACTGGGCCATGGGGTTGGAAGAGGGACGTTATAAAGAGGACCCTACAGGCTATTGGTAGGACTGTATGGATAGGGAAGCTCCTGTAATCATCTTTGTTAAACTATACTCTTAAGTTTTCTTTTCCTTCTGGCAATTTCTTGTTATCTTGTTCTTTTTTTTATTCTCAACATTTATTTATTTTCATTCATTTAGAAAATATTGATTGTCTGCAATGAGAGGCAGACGGTGATTAAGAAAAACTCTTAGATTTATAACCTGGCTCTGTCACCTACTCACCATGTGATTCTGAGAAATTAACCTAACCTTTCTGTTTCTGAGCTTTATTTTAAAATGGAGATAAGAGACCTTACCTCACAAATATTGAAAAGCTTAAATGAGCTTAATATAAAAAATTTTTAGAACAGTGCCTACCATGGAAGATGTACCCAGAAAATATTAGCTGTTGTTATTACTTACCAATAATTTGGCTTTTTCTTGGAGAGCACATTCTTTCTGTGGTTTCACCTGTCACTTAAACTATTAAACTATTGTATCCCAAAATTTTATTTACTAAATAAACAGTTACTACATACCAAGTGTGTACACTATTCTGGGCATTGGGAAAGCAACAATGAACAAAACAGACAAAAATCTGTGTTCCTGAGGAGCTTAAATCTAGTATGGGAGATAAGGCAATAAGCAAGTGAGAGATATAATACTCTGACGTGAAAGGCCTTTGAAGCCTGACTTTTCATTGAGGCTTCAAAGCTGAGTCCTTTTATGTTGAACTTTTATGGGATTTACAGTGGCTTTCTACAATTTATAGCCTACTTGCATTGTTAACAGTAGCTAATTGGTCATTTTAATTTTGTCTCTTCACAAATGAAGGGGGCTCTGTTTTCTATCACTAGTTTTATTCCCACAGCATATGGTGCACTTCTGGGCATACAGTTTGTATTCATTACATATATTATATCGTAAATATGATGTAAAATACTTCTAATTACTGCGTAACCTTTCTTAGGTTGGTTAAGAGAATTAAGCCTTAATTTAGCCCTAAGCCTAAAACGTTTATTTAATGAATGAATCTCTCTCCCGTGCATCTAAAATGGAACTAGTTATGTCCTATCTTTGGGAGAATTCAGAAAGTAGTTACATCATTCTCTGTGTTCTGTGGTTCAGATGAGGAATCTGGTTGAGAAAGGCTTTTTTAGGCATAGCCTCATATACTTTATCAGTAAGAAAAAATGTTGGGTATGTTTTTTAACACATGGCCCTGAAACACAGCTTAAGTAAATGCAATTGGTACAAATAATCCTAAGTTAAAGTAAATTTTTAAGAAATTTTTATTTTATTATTTTAATTTTCAAATATATTATCATTGAATAAGCTGTATTGTCTTTATGTAATGGTCCTTACTGATTTTAAGAAAACTTCTAAAATGCTTATTTAGGGTGTCAAGAAGACTTGTAAGCAAATTGAATCTGCTAAATTATTACCTGATACGCCTGTTCAGTTCATACCTCCAAATACATTGAACCTTCGTAGCTTTACCAAGATTGTGAAGACATTGGCTGAACTGCATCCAGAAGTCAGCAGGTAATAACCAAAATTATATTTTAACTGGTTTAAAACTCTGTGTAAAAATATAGTTCAATTTAATAACTTAGACATAATCAGAATATGTTCCTTTGGAAAAGACAAATATTCATGTATGTTTTCCTTTTGCATAGAGACCATATTATAAATGCACTTCAGGAAGTGAGAATGAGACATAAAGGTTTTCTGAATGGTTTATCTATTAATACTATTGTGGAAATGACTTCATCTGTTCTGAAAAACTCTGCTCCCAGTTAGGAATTTAGAAAACAATAAAGAGGTAAAGTAATCATATTCTTTCATATTTGAATATTACTTAAAATTTATAAGCTATTGATTTCATTTTCTTTTACATAAAAAGCATATTAAATTTAAAATAATATAATCACAAAATAATATGAAACCTAAAAACAAACATACTGGAATTACTTAATTATTAATGCAAAACTAATTACCCTAAAATTGACTGGCTTAAACAACACTCATAAACTCACAGTTTGCAGATCAGGATTCAGGAGTGACTTAGCCAGTGGCTTTAGCTCAGGGTTTTTCATGTTGCAGTCAAGATGTTGGCCTGGACTGTAGTCATCTAGAGGCTTGACTGAGACCAGAGGATCTGTTTCTCAGGGGGCTCACTTACATGTCTGTTGACAAGAGGCCTCAGTTCCTTACTACATAGGCCTTCCCATGAGGCTCTTCAAATGTCTTGATATGGTGGCAGCTGGCTTCCCCTAAGCCAGAGAGAGCAGGATGGAAGCTGCATTGTCATATCTCCCCTCAGTAGTCACAGTAGTTACATTTTTTTTTTTTTTTTTTTTTTGGAGACGGAGTTTCGCTCTTGTTCCCCAGGCTGGAGTGCAATGGCCCAATCTCAGCTCACCGCAACCTCTGCCTCCTGGGTTCAGGCAATTCTCCTGCCTCAGCCTTCTGAGTAGCTGGGATTACAGGCACGCGCCACCATGCCCAGCTAATTTTTTGTATTTTCAGTAGAGACAGGGTTTCACCATGTTGACCAGGAGGGTCTCGATCTCTTGACCTGGTGATCCACCCACCTTGGCCTCCCAAAGTGCTGGGATGACAGGCGTGAGCCACCGCACCCGGCTACATTTTTTACATATTGAAGGTATGTGGTAACCCTGCATCAAGCAAGTCTATCGGTGCCATTTTTCCAACAACCTGTACTCACTTTGTGTCTGTGTCACATTTTGGTCATTCACACAACATTTCAAACTTTTTTGTGACACCTCTTATGGTGATTGTGATCAGTGATCTTTGTTACTATTGTAATTATTTTGGGGCACTTTCAACTGCACCCATATAAAACAGTGAATTTTATAAATGTGTATGTTCTGCCTACTCCATTGATTGGCTCTTTCCCCATCTCTTTCCCTCTCTTTGGTCCTCCCTATTCCTTGAGACACAATATTGAAATTAAACCAGCTGATAACCCTACAATGGCCTGCAAGTGTTCCAGTGAAAGAAAGACTCACATGTCTCTCATTTTAAATGGAAAGCTAAAAATGATTAAGCTTAGTGAGGAAGGCATCTCAAAAGCCAAGATAGGCTGAAAACTAGGCCTTTTGTACCAGTTAGCTAAGTTAAGTTGTTCATTGTTGTGAAGCCAACAAGGAAAAGTAATTGATAGAGATTACAAATGCTACTCCAATGAACACAAGAACGATAACAACATGGAACAGGCTTATTGCTCATATGGTGAAAATTTTAGTTGTCTATATAGAAGATCATAGCAGCCACAACATTGCCTTAAGCCAAAGCCTAATTCAGAGCAAGGACCTCTTTTCCATTATTTGAAGGTGATGAGAGAGGGGAAGAAGCTGAGGAAGAAAAGTGTGAAGCTAACAGAGGGTTAGGTTAGTTCATGAGGTTTAAAGAAAGAAGCCATCTTTTTGTTTTTGTTTCTGAGATTTTGGTGCACACATCACCCAAGCCCCGAGCAATGTACACTATACCCAATGTATAGTCTTTTATCCTTCACCCCACTCCCACCCTTTCCCACGGTCCCCAAAGTCCAGTGTATCATTCTAAGAAGCTGTCTTTCTAACAAAAGTACACTGTGAAGCAGCAAATGCTGATACAGAAGCCGTAGCAAGATGCCCAGAAGATCTAGGTTAGATAATTGATGACAGTAGCCACACGCAACAGCAAATTTTCAGTGTAGAAGAAACAGCCATCTACTGAAAGAAGATGCCTTCTGGGACTTTCACAGCTAGAGAGGAAAAGTCAATTCCTAGCTTCAAAGGATAGACAGGTTCTCTTGGTAGGGGCTAATGCAGCTGTTCACTTCTAAGTTGAAACTGATGCTCATTTACCATTCCGAAAATCCAAGGGCCCTTAGGAATTACACTAAATCTACTCTGCCTTCACTTTATGAATGGAACAACAAAGCCTGGATGATAATACATCTGTTTATAGCATGGAGGTTTTTGGGTTTTGTTCTTTTTTTAAGGGCAGTGTATTGCTATCACCCAGGCTGGAGTACAGTGACACAATCATAGCTCACAGCAACCTCAAACTCCTGGACTCAAAGGATCCTTCTGCCTCAGTCTCCTAAGTGCTGGAACTACAGTAGGTGCACGCCACCATGCCCTGCTACTTTTTTTTAAATTTCAACCTTTTGTAGAGACAGGGTCTCACCTATGTTACCCATATTCCTGGCCTTAAGCAATTCTCCCACTTCAGCCTCCCAAAGTGCTGGGGATTACAGGCATGAGCCACTTCGCCCAACCTATAGCATGGTTTACTGAATCCCTGGGATCAAGCAATCCTGGCTCAGCCTCCCTCAGTAGTTGGGATTACAGACACAAGCACATACCACCATGCCAGGCTAATTTTTTTTTTTAAGAGATGGGGTCTCACCATGTTACCCAGGCTGGTTTACTGAATCTTTTAAGCTCACCATTGAGACCTACTACTTGGGAGGGGGGCTATTTCTTTCAAAATATTATTGTTCCTTGACAATGCACTTTGTTACCAAGAACTCTGATGGAGATGTACAAGGAAATGAATGGGCTGTTTCCATGCCTGCTAACACAACATCCATTCTGCAGCCCATGGATCAAGGAGTCATTTTGACTCAGGTCTTAAATATTTAAAAATGTATTTGATAAGGTTATAGCTGTCATAGCTCATTCTCTGATGGATCCCGGCAAAGTAAATTGAAAACTATCTGAAAATGAGTCATCATTCTAGATGCCATTAAGAATATTTATTTTTCATGGGAGGAGGTAAAAATGTCAACATTCACAAGAATTTGGAAGAAATTGAATCCAACCCATAGATGACTTTAAGGGGTTCCAGACTTCAGTGGAGGAAGTAACTGCAGATGTGGTAGACATAACAAGACAATTAGAATTAGAAGTGGAGCCTGATGATGGGACTGAATTGCTGCAATCTCATGATCAAATTTGAATGGATGAGAAGTTCCTTATTGTGGATGAGCAAAGAAAATACTTTCTTTTTGTTATTACTTGTTTATTTTTGTAGAGCTGGGATCTTGTTATTTTGCCCAGGTTGGTCTCAAACTTCTGGCCTCAAGCAGTTCTCCCACCTCAGCTTCCCAAAGTGCTGGGAATACAGGTGTGAGCCACTGTGCCCTGCCCAGAAAATGCTATCTTGCGATACAGTCTACTATTAGTGAACATGCTGTGAACATTGTTGAAATAACAAAGGATTTAGAATAATACATAAACTTAGGTGATAAAGCAGTGGCAAAGTTTGAGGGGATAGAACACCCAATAGGTAGTTTAAAAAAAAAGTTTGAGGAAATTGACTCCAATTTTGAACTCCTACTCTGGGTAAAATGCAATCATATCGAATCTCCAGTTGCAGAGAAATCTTTTGTGATTGAAAGAGTCATTTGATGCCGCAAACTTCATTGTCTTATTTTAAGAAGTTGCCACAGCCACTCCAGCCTTCAGCATGATGTGAATACATCAGAGAAAAACTGCTTGAAAAATCAAAGCCAAAAAGAACTATAAAGCAGCTGGAGGGAGAAAGTTTACTTTAAGAGTGCAGATTCCCAGCTGACTCTCAACAGAAGTCACCAGATAATTCTCCAAGCCCAAAGCTCTAGGCCCAGGAAAAGAGCCTTCAAAAATAAATGTAAAATCACTAATTATCATGCAACTAAAAAAAGCTAAGATAATGTGTTACTTTAGAAGAAGCCCTATTCGAAAGAAAATAGCATAGTGTTCTCTGGGGAAAAAAAGTGATTTTAAATAAAAGGTCAGAGGTATAGGAGAAAGGAAGATCAAGAATAATAAATATGTGGTGTGTCTCAATCAATATTGACTGTATAAAACAGAAATAATGGTTCTAATAGAATTCAAATCATAACACTAATATATTAGTTGAGAGGGGATTAAGTATTCTTACTATTCTAAACACCTTGCAGTTTGGCAAGAGGGTAAGACTTTCTATGTTGGGGTACTCAAGACCATCCCAAGCTTTGTTATATGCTAGGAAGACTCACAGAACTCAATATATAGATGTATTTATGGGTATGATTTATTACAGTAACAAAATACAAAGCAAAATCAGCAAAGGGAAAAGATACATAAGGTGAAGTCTGGAGGAAACGGGCTCCAAGAGTCCCCTTCCAGTGGAATCATGCAGGATGTGCTTAATTACTCCAGCAATGAATTGTGACACCTCTCAAATGTTGTCTACTGGGGAAGTTTATACTAAAGACTCAGTGCCCAAGGATTTTACTGGGGGTTGGTCATGTAGTTGCCCTCTGCTGAGCACATACTATAGTTCCAGGCTCTCAGGGAGCTACGATTCAGCATAAACCACATTGTTTGTACAGCAGTTTTAGTATAGTGAGGCACTCATCACTTCTGGAAATGGTGGTAACTACCCCCGCCCCCAATCCAAGTTTCTAGATGCCAGCCAGAGGCCAACCTTGGTAGCAGGTCTTTCTAAGGATGGCAGTCTCAGGCCTGCTGCGTTAACTCTCTTTCTACACATGTGCCAGCTGACGTACGAACAAAGAATCCATGTTGTAAACTTGGGAGCAACTACTAAAAGAACACTTTGAAAGCGCACAGAAAGTGAAGTTAGACCTTTACCTTACACCATATCCAAAAATTAACTCCAAATGAATCAACAACTGAAACGTAAGAGTTAAAATTACAAAACTCTTAGAAGAAAACAGCAAAAAACCTTCACAGCCTTGGATTTGGCACTGATTTGGATATGACAACAAAAGAAAAGATAAATATATTAGACTTTATTAAAATAAAAAACTTGAACATCAAAGGACTCTATTAAAAGAGTGAAAAGGCAGCCCATAGAATGAGAAGATATTTATAAATCATACATCTGATAAGGGGTTAATACACAGAATAGGCCAGGCAGGATGGCTCATACCAGTAATCCCAGCACTTTGGGAGGCTGAGGCAGGCAAATCGCTTGAGGCCAGGAATGTAAAATCAGCCTGGGCAACATAGTGAAACCCCATCTCTACAAAAAATACAAAAATTAGCCAACATGGTGGCCCATACCTGTAGTCCTGGATACTCAGGAGGCTTAAGTGGAATGATTGCTTGAGCCTGGGAGGCAGAAGTTGCAGTGAGCTGAGATTGCACCACTCCACCCCAGCCTGGGTGACAGAACAAGACTCTATCTCAAAAAAAAAGAAAAAAAGAAAAGAATACCTAGAATATATGAAGAATTCCTACAACTCAACAAAAAAACCAACCCATTTTTAAAAATGGGCAAAGGGTTTAAATAGGCATTTCTCCAAAGAACAGATACAAATAGCAATAAACACATGAAATACATTCAGCATCATGAATTACTAGGGAAACATAATCAAAACCACAAAGAGATACCACTTCACCCATGGTTATTATTAGTTAGTGTTACTTGTTAAAAATAAGTTTCCTGTAGATTCTAGATATTAGGTCTTTATCAGGTGCATAGTTTGCAAATGTCTTTTCCCATTCTGTAGGTTTTCTATTTATTCTGTTGACAGTTTCTTTTTCTGTACATAAGTTCTTTAGTTAATTGAGTACCACTTGTCTTTTTTTTTCCTGCAATTGCTTTTGGGGACTTAGCCAAAAATATTTTGCCAATGCAAACCCACAGCCAATATCATACTGAATGGGCAAAAGTTCAAACCATTCCCCTTGAGAACTGGAACAAGATGAGGATGCCCACTCTCACCACTCTTATTCAGCCTAATATTAGAAGTCCTAGCCATAACATTCAGGCAAGAGAAAGAAATAAAAGGCATCTAAGTAGGAAGAAAGGAAGTCAAACTGTCTCTGCAGACTGATTCTATACCTAGAAAATCCTAATAGATCTAGTAAACAACTTCAGCAAAATTTTAGGATAGAAAATCAATGGACAAAGATCAGTTGCATTTCTGTACACCAACATCCAAGCTGAGTGACGAATCAGTAATACAATTCTATTCACAATAGCCACACAAAAAAATAAAATTCCTAGGAATACAGCTAACCAAGAATATGAAAGATCTCTACAGCAAGAATTAGAAAACACTGCTGAAAGAAATCGGAGAGGACAGAAACAAATAGAAAAATGGATAGGAAGAATCAATATTGTTAAAATGGCCACGCTGCCCAGAGCAGTTGTTACAGATTCAGTTCTATTCCTGTCAAACTACCAATGACATTCTTCACAGAATTAGTAAAAACTATTCTAAAATTCATATGGAACCAAAAAGGACCCCAAATAGTTCAGCCATTGTGGAAAGCAATTCAATGATTTCTCATTAAAATAGAAATGCCATTCAGGCCAGCAATCCCATTCTTGAATATATGTCCAAAGGAATGTAAATCATTGTACCATAAAGACACATGCATATGTATGTTTATCACAGCACTATTCACAATAGCAGAGACATGAAATCAACCTAAATACCCATCAGTGGTAGACTGGATAGAGAGAAGTGGACATATACACGTGGAGTACTATGCAGCCATAAAAAAGAACGAGATGATGTGCTTTGCAGCAGTATGGATGGAGCTGGAGGCCACTATCCTAAGCAAACTAACACAGGAACAGAAAAATACCACATGTTCTCACTTATAAGTGGGAGCTAAATATTGAGTACACATGGACAAAGAAGAGAACAGCAGACACTGGAGCCTACTTAAGGGTGGATGGTAGGAGGAGGAGGAGGATGAAAAACTATCTAGTGTCATGCCTATTACCTGGGTAATGAAATAATCTATACACTAAACTGCACACACACAATTTATATAACGAACCCGCACATATGCCCATGAAACTAAAATAGAAGTTTGAAAGAAAATATCTTATTTTCCTTTATCAAAATGAAATAAACTGAGAGGCTTATGAAAGGAATATTAGAGTTAAAATGATTGCTAGATACAAAGACAGTACACAAAAATTAATTGCAATTCTCACTATCTGTGATGTAAGAAAATGAAATTTGTTAAAAGGTATTTCAGTACCATTAAAAACAATCACGTGCCTAGGAATGTATTTAACAAAAGATACTCAACAATCATTGCTGATTTCTCCTTTCTCTTGACTAGAACTTCCTTGGAAAGTGTGTTTCTTTCTTCAGAGAATGTTCTACGGTTCTAAGGAAAAAGTGGTAATAATAAGATGATGTAATTAAATGGGCTCTATAAATGGGCTAAGCTGTTAAAATATTCTACTTTATAGCCCTCCTTTAAAATCTAGCAACGGTTGTCTATACAATATTAAAAACCTTCTCTGTATATTTAAAATTACAATGTAATTTTAGTAAGTTTTTAAATTTTTTCTTTCAATTGTGTTACTTAGAACATCAAGGTGCATATTTGGGATCTAAAGAAATGATCTTGTCCATTTTAAAAACTTTATTAAGTCACTTTTAAAATATATTGATCAAGAAGGAGGTTTGTTGTTATATCATCAATGTTTATGAAATGATTTCCATACATAAAAAAATGTAATTTACCTGAAGTTTGTCTTAAGACTGTTACATTGGAATACAGGATAACAGATAAACTATATCAATACATTCAGTGTTATACAACATTTTGGAATGTGTATGTTTTCAGGCTTCCAAGATAATTAAATTGCTGTTGTGATACATTCGATGCATTTTTATGACCTCAGTATAATATATTCAGGTGTGTTATTCATTTTCACTGGGAAGGGTAAACTCACATGTCTTTTGGTAAAGTACCTTAATTTAAATGTTCCCTATATTGCTTGCATTCATTTTGTGGAAAGTTCTGTTGTATTGTTAGGACAATTTTCAAAGGCTAATTTTATGCTTTATCTGATAGCAATATAGAATAGATGGTTCTTTAATTGCTTACTTTTTTAAAGTAATATAATATTTAGGTTGCATTTTTATTAATAGTAACATTTTTATTTAACATTTAAGTCTGCATTTTGTTTAAATGTTTAAAATGTTTATAGCATTCAATGTTTAGTTGGTGTTACTTGATGAAAAATCAGCCATTTAATGTTTATATTTGAGGTGGTGATATTTAATAAAGGCATCTAGTCTGTAGTGCCACTGTCAGTTTAACGCTTTCTTCAGGTTCAGTGGCAAATTAACCTACCAGTGTTGACATGGGATATATATGGATGATAAGGCAATATCCTTATCATCCATATATAAACTACTGGATTTAAATTTTTTTTTTTTTTTGAGACGGAGTTTCACTCTTGTTACCCAGGCTGGAGTGCAATGGCGCGATCTCGGCTCACTGCAACCTCCACCTCCTGGGTTCAGGCAATTCTCCTGCCTCAGCCTCCCGAGTAGCTGGGATTACAGGCACGCGCCACCATGCCCAGCTAATTTTTTGTATTTTTAGTAGAGACGGGGTTTCACCATGTTGACCAGGATGGTCTCGATCTCTTGACCTCGTGATCCACCCACCTCGGCCTCCCAAAGTGCTAGGATTACAGGTGCACGGCCCTGTTTTCTCTTTTATAGGATTTATAAAAGAATTGAATATATTTGAGAATAAGGTTTTATTTAACATGTTTATTTCTCCAGTTTTTACCAGATCTACCCCAAATGTCTACCAGGAATTGGGTTCCACAAAGTAAAAATAATCATCATAATTTAAAGGGCTATCTTTAATGTAACTGGAAAGCCATTGGCTTTAGCCATATATCAAATTAGTAAAATCCTAATTTTACTGACTAAATTACTAATTAAATTTTACTGGAATTGTGGATATTTTTCCTCTATGTTAATTATATGGTTATTTATATTAAAAGGCAACATTCAGAGTTAGCATTGAATAAAGGAGCAACATGGAATAGGTGTTATTTTCAGCATACTCGCAGAAATAAGAACATATCTCTCATCATTTGTTTCTCAGAGGAATGATGGAGTGGAATTCCATCTTAGAATACATAAAAATTACTGCCTTTGATTTTGGGAAAATATAGAAACAGTCATTTGAAATTATAACTTACAGGTTTTTGGAAATAAAGTCCTATCCAAAAGCTAATGGTAAAGGTCAGGCAGCGTTTGTAAATTAAAGAGCTTTCATCTGTGGCCTGTAAATTAATAGCTGTTATGAAGCATCCTTAGTTAAATTTAGAAATTAGAGTTATTTTTCATGAATCTTTTGGAACATCAAGTGAAAAATGTGTTTATCTTATTCTTTAAAATCTCTAACTTGATATTAGATAATTGAATAAAATTATTGCAGAATTTTAAAAGACTGGTCAAACTGTCCAAGTTTTCATATATCTTCACTAGCAAAAATTCAGATAATTTAACATATATTATTGCTCAAAAGCATTTTTCTTTCACATTGTTGTATTGGATACCAAAGAGCACTTAGCTGTATCAACTAGAATATATAGATAATCATTAATATGTTTGGAGATAATCAGAGATTTGGAAAGTTGTAAATACCGTAGATGATCAGCAAAAGCCGTGGAACTAAAAATCCCTAACTGGTTCTGCCTGATGTCAATCTTTATGAGATAATATGCATGACTCAGACGCTCAATCAAACCGGTGATTTCTCTTTTAAAAATGGATTTCAACCAGTAGTGTGTATATAAGGGCGTTAAGTACTGCTTTTTCAGTATTGGCCATTGTTACTTATTATCAAATGCCTATGTGGCATATAGAAACATCACGTTTCACATGTGGGCAGAACAATAGTCTTCTAAGATGTCCTGTTATCTGGATCCTGTGATATCTTGTGCATGACAAAGGGAATTAAGGTTACAGATGCAAGTAAGGTTGTTAATTAGCTGACTTTAAGATTAGGGGCTTATTCTGGATTATCTGGCTGGGCTTAATCTAATTACGTGAGTCCTTAAAAGCAGTAGAGGAGGCAGAAGAGAGAACCAGAGAAATGGCATTGTGAGAACACACTCCTGCTGGCTTTGAAGACAAAACAAGGGGCCAAGAACCAGTGGACAGCCCCCAGAAGCTGGAAAAGGTGGCAAACGGGCTCCCTAGAGCCTCCTGAAGGAATGCATCCTTGCTGAAACCCTGATTTTAGTCTAGGGAGATGTGTCAGACTCTGGCCTACAGAAGTGTGAAATAAATATGTATTGTTTAAGCCACAGTTTTCTGAGTCTGCCTTTGCTGGCACTGAGCACGTGGCTGGCTGAGGGCAGCACAGGAGTGTGAAGTGTGCACTGGGATTTGGTGGGATTTTTTTCCCTGTTACTCAGTTCCTTTGCAGTTGGAACATTCTCCAAGTAATGCTGAGGACACTTTTATATAGAATTTATTTTTCACTTCCTGTTTTTTGTTTGTTTTGTTTCTTTGGGTGAATAGGGAAATATGTAACTGCTGTTCTCAGCTACTTCCAAGTGTTTTAGTTTTAACAGTGACTTCCTGCAGGACTTGAAAAACTGATACTTGATGAAGCTGAGTTCCCTGAGATACTTCTGTTTTTGTTAGTGTTCATCTAACAATTGCACAATGTAAACAACTCACAGAACTAAGTTGTTACTGCTTATAAACTTGTCTTTGGAACCACTGATTCGTTATTGATCATGATTGAAGTTCAGCCTTTAAATTGCAGGCCTCTTAGTGAGGACACCGGTGGAGTCTTCCCCTCCCTATCAGCAAGTTACTGAAAAACTACCTGTAGAACATCTGATGCTTTTTTCCTTTCAGTACTTAGAAACGTTCCATTGTTTTCTGGTTGCATTATATCCTGTGAGAACTCTTCTGTCACCCTTACCTGTGTTCTGTACCTCAGCAGTCCCCAATGTTTTGGCACCAGGGACTGGTTTTGTGGAAGACCACTTTTCCATGGGGTGAGAGGGGAATGGTTTAGGGATGAAACGGTTTCCCGTCAGATCATCCTCACAAGGAGCGCAACCTAGATCCCTTGCATGATAGTTCATGACAGAGTTCACACTCCTATGATCTGACAGGATGTGGAGCTCAGCTTCACTAGCTCACCCACTGCTCACCTGCTGTGAGGCCGGGTTCCTAACAGACCACGGACTGGCACCCCTGTGGCGTTGTGGGACCCTGCTATACATAATGTTTTTTCCCCTCTGGCTGCTTTTAAGGTTTTCTCTTTATTACTGGCTTTAGGCAGTTTGATTATGATGTGCCTTCATGTATTTTTCTTGATGATTCTTGTGCTTGCAGTTTGGGGATGTTCTTGGCTCATGGGTTCATAGAAACTGTTCCACATAATAGTTCTTCACATATTTCCCACCTGCCTTCCACCAGGGCTCCACTTAATCCCATATTAGGGCCACTCAGAGTTGCCTCATGGCTCTCTAATGCTTTTTCCTTTTACTGTTTTTTTTTTTTTTTTTTTTTACTATTTTTCAGTTGAATGGGTGACTCTGTCTCCCATATTGCTTTTAAGTTACTTGGAAATCACTTGCTCTTGTTGTTGCTTTCAAGTTTTGTTAGGCAGCACCAGAATGGCCTTTGTATCTTTACTGACTACAGAGAGGCCTTACCCTTCTAACTATGCTCTGATGTTCTGTGTATTTCAAGGTTTTTCCACTGTGGTTGGTGGGAACTGGAACTATTTCCAGGCGGGTGTGAGCTCTTAGGCTCTTTTCCCTTGGGTGGTGTCCTTAGACGTGTGGGCTGAGACTCAGTGGGACCCTCTGTGATCTCTCAGATGCATCCTCTGCGCAGCTCTTTGCTCTCCAGCACTACCCCCTGCCTGCATTAACTGCCTGGCTTCCCCAGACTGAGTTTCCTCTCTCTGACTGTGGTCTGGAAACTCCAGGCAGTGAGCAGTTCTAGCACTCACCTCATTTGTTTCCCTGCTCGCAGGGATCCCTGCACTTCCTGTGGTCCTCTGCAACAACTGCTGTTTCATACACTTTGTCCAGCTTTTTAGTTTAAGATGGGAAGATAAGTCCAGTCCCTGTTACTTCATCTTGGCTGAAAGCAGAAGTCTTATGTTAATAGTGAATCTCTAGAGTGCAGACCAGGCTTTCATCATATCTTTAGCCCTACTGTGTACGCAGTAAAGCACTTGGCCATTTTCTAACCTCTTCCATTGTTTAACCAAACGTCCCTCTAGAAGAGGTGCCCTGGGAAACGAATGATTTCCATGCTACCCATGACCACAATTAGAAACACAGACACATCAGACTGCAACTGTGGGAGAAAGGAAGCCCGGTAGTGGTTGCTAAGGAATCTCTTAGTCAGACCAAGGTACAGACAGGAAAATGACCAGGAGAGAACATGCCCCTAGGTGCGTGCCTTACTTCAGCATTCTCCAGAGAACTGTGAATTTTAAAGCATATGAACTTGAGAAACAGGCTTTGTCTTAGGAACATGTGTGCTTTAGGGGCTGTTGAGAAAACAGCAGTGGCAGGGCTTCTGGCCTTGCCTCCTTACAGTCAAGCTTCAAAGAAAAAATGTTGGGAAGAAAGACTCCTGCTGAGCCTGATGAAAGAGGAGTCCAGTTGCCAACCAAAAGAACACGTAGCCAAAGTCCACAGGCTACAAGTGGAAAGGGTGGCTCAAGCCAGAGGCCCTGGGTGTGGAAGGTGAGTGATGGCTGCAGAGATTCAGGTTCCTCTCCCCACTGTGACTGGCCACCACTTAGTGCAGGATGCACAGCTGACCTGTCCCAGGGCAGTGCTGGCACCCACCCTTCCCCACCAGCTGTGCTGCTCTTACCTGGCATGGCCTCTGGCTGCCAGGCCCGAGCTCGGCCTGCGCTTCCCTTGTGTGTTCTCTCCACCCAGCCCTCAGGACTGCCTGGGCTGCGTTGTGTCCAAAGTCCTTTGCCTTCTTACTTGCACGGCAGCTTACGCAAGTGTCCCCTTGTTCCCTATGGCTCCCGCATTGTGGCACTTATGCTATTGAGAGTTTTAGAGGTTACCCCCTAGATTCACCAACTGAAGGGCAGGGCTTGTTGATGTAACACTGTCTTGCATGTAGGGACACAAATGTCTGTTAAATGAAGAAAGTAGGGAGACCGGGCCACCTAATGGGGTATATCTCCTAGGGTTCAAGAGAGAGTGTGCCCTCCCCCACCATCTCACCCAGACCCCTCACTCTCAGAATTCTTGGGGCCCCGCGCAGTGGGGGAGAAGACATGCTGGCCCCGAGGGCCCTCCTAGCCTGTGTTAGAAGAGCTGGTGGATGGCCTCCCTGTCAGCTGTCTCCCCTTCTCTGAGCTTACAGCAGATGGCAGCAGCCGCTCAGCCACAGACTGCTGAGGAACTGTTGGTCACTCAGCAGTGCCGTGTGACTGCAACTTCCACAAGAGAGACAGCTGTGGCCACAACGCTAGGGTGGTGATCCGTCCCCCTCCAGAGGCGGTGCATTCTTTAGCATGAGTATAAATTTACTATTGCTAAGAGTTCTCAGAACAGGTTATTGCAAGAAGGAACCCACTGCAAGGTGAAATCCAGCCACTAGTAATGCCCTTAGAGCCCAGGTCAGGCCTGTGCCTTCCAGAACTTGCCCCTCCCCAGGCTTTCCCAGACCATCTCCAGAGCGCCCTCCTCTCACCGCTTTAGATAAAGGAATGCACCCAAGATCCCCCATCAGTTCTCCATGCAGCTGCCAGAGTGACGGTCCCCAAAGCAAACCTCGTCTCTAAGGACTCTCTGCCCAGACCCTCACAAACCTCCTGCCAGGCGCTCGCTACCCATCAACAGCGAGACCCCCAGGCCATCTCAATCTCCCCAAAGAGCCCCGTTCCCTCCAGCCCCCGGCCTCTTCCCACCCACTCATCCTGCAGATCTGGAGCAGCATTCCAGGGCCTGGGAGTGTGCGCCATCTTGGGTTATTAGGGGTCTTCCCCAGGCGCCTGGCGGGGAAGCGGGGGGGAGGTGACGCCAACGCTCCCCAGCGCCTGCACCTGGGAGGAGAGGTAAACGCGGTGGGGCGATCTCAGCCTGTTTGCAAAGCAAACCCCAGGCAGGAGAACCTCGGAGGAGGAGGAGGGGAAGATGCCCAGGTGGAGACCAAGGTGCCGCTCCCTCGGAGTCGCCTAGGAGACCCTCCCTAGTTTAAAAAGTGAGAACATTTCAGAAGGCCTCACTCGAAGTCCAAGTGTGCCGTCCCCCCCGGAGACGCCCGCGCGACTCCCCTGCAAAGTTTTCCCGGCCTCGCGCGCCCCCGGCCCTGGCACCCACCTGGGGAGCCACAGTGGGCCGGGCCACGCGGCCGCCGCCTCCCACCCCTCCCGCGCCCGCGCCCGCCCCCGCCCCCGGCACGTCTCCTCCGGGCGGGCGCCGCGGCGGGCTCAGTCCTCGGCGGGGCGCGTGGTGGGTGGACTGGGCTCCGCTGTGCACCATGGCCCGGGCCCTGTGCCGCCTCCCGCGGCGCTGCCTCTGGCTGCTCCTGGGTGAGTAGGGTCGGGGATCCGGGTCGAACTCTCTTCCCCCGGCCCGCCGGCGTCCTCTAGGGGAGGGGAGGAGAGGGAGGGCGCAGCGGTCCGCTGCCGTTGAACCTGGGCAGCCCGGGTTCCAGGCGGGAGGCCCCAGGGCACCGGGAATCAGAGGGTGCGGACCGGAGTTGCGCCTCTTGCCGCGGAAGGGACGGCTTTGGGGAAGTCGGAGAGCCGGCGTTCTGAAAGGCGTGGGGCGTCAGCTGCGCGCACCGGAGAACTTGTTTCCGGGAGAGAAACAGGACGCGGGGTTCCCCAGCCCCGCACCTCGGTTTCCCAGGCTGTGCGCCGCGGTGACCGCCAGCGCAGGCTCCCCTCCCTAGGCAGTCCCGCGTGGCAAAACCTGCAGGCAGGCGCCTCGCAGAGGACTCGGTGTGCGGGAGTCGGAGCCACTGACCGTTCGTCTGGAGATGAGTCAACACTGATCTCTCGCAGACAGAGCAGTCGCTTGTTTGCTAATGATGCCTTTTGCAGAAATAAGGCCCTCCCTTCTCGAGGCATTTCCATCGCTTTTTTTTTTTTTCTTTTTTCTTTTGGTTTGCTTGTTAACTTGGCACTTCCGGCTAATAGAAATTTAGAGGACGGGACCCTTGGTGAAGTGGTGGAACGCGCTCGGCTTTCCACCTGCGGGAAGAGTGGAGATTATCAACTACCCGGTGGCCACAGGAACTGGCCACACACTCAGCAAGGCACGGCCCCGCTCACTGCCCCCATCTGCAGTGCGCTCCCAACATGCTGACTCAAGCCCCTTCTACACTGGTTGTTGCGTTCCGTGTATTTAGCTACCTTTCAACGGAAACCGAATAATAGATTACTGGCGTGGGAGAAAACCCAGTGCCCCTGGGAAGGCCAGAGCAGTTGTTTCTAGTATATGTGGCCTTTTCCCAGAAACAGTGATGTTGGTCAGAGGCACCTGCCGCACAAGTCCCCTTGGCCTGTCACTGGCACTGGGCAAGCAGTGACCGCCAGCGCTGTTTCTGTAGCTGGGGGAGCAGTTCGTGGCCCGGCGAGGAGAGGGGCCCGAGCTTCTTGGGAGCCATGGATTTCTGGTCCCTGTTTGTAAACCTCTCCAAGGAGTGGCAGATCGGCATGGAATCCTCCGAGGCCAACATAATATTATCTGAAAGCGAATCTTGCCACTCGAGTGTTTTGGCTGAAGTTAAGTGGAAAGCCACATCTCAGCGGAATCTTCCCTCCTCTTGTGTTCGGATCCATTTGGCTTGACGTGACCTTCACTGTTTTCGTTTCCTAAGAGACAAACATTTCTTTGTTAGCAAGGCAGAGAGCTGGGCTGTGGAATATTTTTCACATAAATAACCAAATAAATAAATGTTCTTTACTAGTGTCCAGAGACTGCACCCTCTAAGGCTTGTGTAAATAAAACGCTATGTCACGATCACATATACAGACCTTCCTTGTTTACCAAGAAAACTATTCATGTTCTGCTGGAAGTCCAAAGTCCTGTAATTTTAACATCATTTTGAGTGGCCTGGCTAATGTTATATCTTGGAAGGTTATGAGGTTATCGGTAAATTAATGTCATTTGGAGACCAGCTGTAATTCGTGGAATTACTGAGCACAGGCTGTTTCCTTCACAGGCTCTAGCACTAGCCAGATCTCCTTGGTGATGAAGATTCTGCTACCCAGAATGGCAACGTGGAATTTTTTTTTTTTAAGAACGCTAGTGTGCAGGTTTAAGAACTTATCTGTGACAATTTTACAATCAAGCTATTTGTCTTAGGTAGTTATTGAGATTCTCCCAGCCATGGGAGAATCTCAGTTCACAGTTCACCCAGCCATGATGGCTCACACCTGTAATCCCAGCACTTCGTGAGGCTGAGGTGGGTGGATCACCTGAGGTCAGGAGTTCAAGACCAGCCTGGCCTACATGGCAAAACCTGACTCTACTAAAAATACAAAAAAATTAGCCAGGCATGGGGTGGTGGGCACCTGTAATACCAACTACTCAAGAGGCTGAGGCAGAATTGCTTGAACTTGGGAGGGCAGAGGTGGCAGTGAGCTGAGGTCATGCCGCTGCACTGCAGCCTGGGTGAGAAGAGTGAAAACTCCGTCTCAAAAAAACAAAAAAACAAACCTTAGGATCCATATGTAGTTCTTTTCCCTCCGAGCATCCTATGCACTGTTCTGTTTGCTGGAGACTAACGTAACCACATGCATTTTGAAAGGTTTGTGTAGAGACACCAAAAAGCTGTTTGCTAATCAGGAAGGAAGAATGCATGGCAGCCCTGGTTTCGAGTCCAGCTGCACTCAGGGAGTGCCGGCTGGTGCTGTCACACAGGAACTCAGTCATCTGTCCTGGGAAACGCTTGCCTGCCTTGGCTGTCATGTGGAAGGTGCGTTTTTGTTTTTTTTTTTAATGGCTGCGACATTAATTGAAATATATGACTCTATAAATAGAAGTAGAATTGGAAATGACGGGACACCGTAGGAAGTGCTGTGTGACTGCTTCAGATCGCCACGCGGTTTTAAATCCGGACGCAGTTCTCATGCCGGAGTCCAAATCTGAAGCATTCTCATTTGCTAATCAGTGTGTTTGTTTACCCTCTCTGTGTGTTCAGCTGCAGGAAGAAATGTCTGGATTTGTGTCTTCCTTTCACAGACGCCTTGCCAGTCCGAGGCCAGGGCTGTTGAGAAATGTTTATATCCACAGTGGAAATGGTCGATTCAGCTCCGGGAAATGTAGGTGGAATCTTAAGGCTAGTTAGAAACGTCTGTCCTGACTTTTTCCCCAGAATGTACCCATTTCATAGCTTTTCATCAATTAAAACTGGCATCTGGCTGAGTGTGTGATGCGGGTGCCATGTGTAGAGTAAATTCCTGTGGAGATGCTGAGCCCAGAGAGTGAAGCCCTTTGGGCTTGCCTGCCAGTGCCCCACCCCCAACTGAGGCCTAGAACCCCTCGTTCCTGATGGTCCTTGTGGTGTGGTGGGCTGGCCCCTCAGTGGGCCCTGAGCCAGGCCTGGCCATCCAGATGGTGCCAAGGAGGAGACTGGCCATGGGCTACACAGTCGGTGTTCTGCTGGAGCTGTGAGGAAAGATGTCCTCCAGGCTGGATCTGAGTGGGGCTGCCGCGGTCCACCCTTGAGCCAGGGGGAGCACCTGTCCGTGACACAGAGCACTCCTGATGCCTTTTGAGGCCCTACATTGAGCCTCATTGTGACTCATGATGATTGAGCTGGGTGTCTGTCCCTTGCAGGGATGGTAACTGATAGCAGGCTCAGGGGTCTCCCAGAATGGCATACATGGGGGGCTGTGGGAATCCTGCCCAAGAGCCTCCTCCTCCACTGGGGACCCTGGAAGACCTCCTGAAGGAGGAGGCACTGCAGCCAGGATGACAGTGGGAGCTGGTAAGGGGACAGGGGAGGCCAGGCTGCAGTGGCCCCAGTGGCTCCAGCACTTGCTGGACTGTGTGCCCACTGGCCTTGCCCATCAGTTTCTTGGTGCAAATGAAGATGCAGAGATGGTGCTGCCAGGCGCTGCCCAGTTCCCAGACTGCAGTACCCCCGCTGACCCATGACACACGCAGACACATGGAGCCCTGGAGGGATGTCCTCATCCCCAGCCCTCTCTGCTTCAGAACGGGGGACCCCCAGCTCGGTGATGTTCCTGGAGGACCCGTTTCTCTTTGGTGAGGAGGGGGCATCCACACGGCTGCCATAGGAGGGTCCCAGCCTGAACAAAACCGTACTCACTTCGCCGAATGACATTACTGTGTTCAGGAAAAAAGATTTTCTCCTAAGACGGTTTATTTCAGTAATTTCTGGGGCATCCAAATGGCATCACTTTAATCATCTTTTAAATAAGGGGCAGGGTCCACAGGGACACACCAGCCAGACATGGCAGGGGTGCGGGGCTGTGGGCCTGGGTCGCAGCCAGCCGGACTCTGCTTCCTTAGCTCTTGCAGTGACTCTTCACTGTGCTCCAAGAGTGCTTCGCTCCTTCCCATGTGCAGAAACACAGTAGATTCTCTGGGACCAGGGACCAGAACCCCAAAACCCCACACCCCGGCCATCCACTCTGCCCTCCACCAGGGTTAGCACCGCCTCCCCCATCACAGGGACAACTGCCCAGCCTCCTAGGGCCCCCACCTCATCCACCACCCCAGGGACAGGGGGTCCTCCTCTGTGTTCCCACCAGACCCTCAGGCTACGTTAGCGTCACCCCCACACATGCCATGTTCAGGCCCCCACGCCTTTGCTCTTGGGGAGCAGCTCCTGAATTAGCTGAGAGTTCTGGGAAACCATGGGGGAAGGAGAAGGAGGCACAGCGACCTGGACCATAGCACGGGCCAGCCCACTCCAGGGGGCATGGTACCCCCTCAAGAGGCTCAGGAGGGACTGTCTTGAGCCTGACACCACCTAGGAGGAGACAAGTCAGTGGTTTGCCCAACCAGACAAGAGTTTGCATCATAAGACCTCCTACTGTGGGCTCCCTGGCCAATTACCAAAGCGTTTCAGGGCGCCACACAGCAAAGCCCCAAGCCAGGAGAGGAAGGGGCCTGGAAGGCGCTGCCCCTTCAACACTTAGTGACTGACACTCAGGTCAGCAGTTTTCTCACCTCTGGAGGAGACAGCTGTGAGAGGGAAGCAGGGGGAATGGACGGGTGAGGGGGTGCCGGGAAAGGGCTGTACCATTTCTCCTGGAAACACCCATCTGCCACCTCACACACTCGGGACACACAGGGTCAGGACTCGGAGGGGCTGAGGCTGGGGTGCAGAGCAGCCTGCTACGTAGTGTCCTACACAGCCCAGGGAGCCCCAGAGGATGGTCCCACACCAAATGTCCACAGTGCCAAGGCGGAACAGCCCTGCTCCAAGTCAACCATGTAGACATGTGGTGCCACTTAAATGCATCAGGAAATAAACAGGAGACCATGGAGCAGAGCCCTGAGGAGCAGGGGCAGTGCAGTCCAGTGGCCAAGGACGGCTGCACAGAGG